AAATACCCTCCTGCAGCTACTAGGTTAGGGGGGGGGGGGGTCCGCTAACAGTTCGTCTTCCGTTACAGTGCAGTATTGCTACTGTGGTAAGCTGTAACGGTAGCTTGTGCGAAGTATTGCAGCCACTCTCACTTTCATCAATGAGTACGGTTGTTGGCGAGGGCTCCTGTTGTTAACGTTACTGCAGTCTGTAGTGTTTCCTGATGATGTGATGATGTAGTGTTGTGTGTTGCTGCAACCGTTTGCTGATGCTGTCGACCATTTGCATGTTTGGAGGTGTGGCCGCGTCCCACATGAGACCTTTGTGACATTTCATATCAGCAGCATGATTGCTGTGGTCAATCCTGTGTTGTTACACTAGGCCGCTATGACCACCACTCTTCGTTGACTACACTCTGCCTTATAACTCAAGAAACCCCAAGCCTGCGAACCCCATGCCTCCCTGTTAAAACCCTATAAGCCTAAATCCGAAAAAACCTATAAACCCTAAACCGTTGAACTTTCCCATCCGGCCTTCAAGGACTTCTTGAAGCGAGAGAAATGAGTGCTGATCTGGCGAGGTCTGCGCTTAGAGTTGCACACCCCATTGCAGGGTTTAGGGTTTAGGAAGCCGTTCATGCCCATTGCAGGATCTACATGGGGGTTTCCGAAAGCAAGGGGTGCCTTATTTGGGGATCCTTGTAATAGGGATCCTACTATTTAGGGTGCTATATTAGGGTCCCCTATTTTCGAAAACCCCACATAGGACTGTGGGTTTAGGCTCAGGGCTCGGGTCTTGCAATTTAGGGCTTCGGAGTTAAGGTCGTCGCGGGTGCTTCCGCTAAGCGGCTATAAACCCTAAACCCAAAGCCTTGACCACGGTTCTGGGTTTGGGAGTTTACGGTTTAGGGTGTAGGGTTTAGGGGGGTTTAGGGTTTAGGAGTTTAGGAGTTTAGGAGTTTAGGGTTTAGGGTTTAGGGTTTAGGGGGGTTTAGGGTTTAGGAGTTTAGGGCTTAAGTTAGATGGAGGGCGTGAGTTCCGTGCAATGTCACTCATGTGGCCATGATTGCGCCGTCATACCTCCCATAAGGTTCAAGCTCAAGTTGCATAGAGACCCTGAGCCCTAAAACCCCAAACCCTAAACCCTAAAAACCTAAACCCCAAACCCTAAAACCCTACAGCCCTAAACCCTACAACCCTAAAACAAGTCAGCGTTTGAGTTTCAGGTTTAGGTTTCAGGTATAGCGCGCACGATGCGGGGAGCGGATGCACTTCAAGATCTGTGGCTTCATGGCCTGATGCTGCAGAGTTTTGAGTTGACAGACGGTTGTTCTAAACTTTGAACCTTACAGCCTACACCTAATCAACAAAAATACCTTGAACCCTACGAGTCTAGCACAAGAACTGCAAGCCCTCGCACAAAAATGTCCGGACCCTAGACCCCTAACCGCAAAGCTTGCATCCCTAAACCCTAACCCCTAAACCCCCCTAATCCCGAACCCCTAAACTCTAACCCCTCTGATCTTCTCGGCACATTGCGTTAAGCCAAGAGGGTTTAGGGTTTAGGGTTTAGGGTTTAGGGTTTTAGCCAAGCTGCGTGTATCAGGCGCATGTTCGTCAAGATAATCACCTGGGATTGTTGCAGGGTCACATCCGCCCCTAGGGAGGGTTTGGGGTCTAGGGGACAGCGCGTAGGCGGCTGTGTCTTGCGACAAGGTCGTGTCGAGTGCATCGTTCTGGCGATGCGCTGTCAAGGCCTAAACCCTAAACCCTAAACCCTAAACCCTAAACCCTGTCTTTGGAAGCCCTAAACCCTAAACCCTAAACAGGCTTTCCCTTGTAGGCGGCAGGGTAGGATAGGGCACAGGGCACAGGTCACAGAGAGCAGGAGCGGGGGCCAAGGAGGCTCCAGGGCAGAGAGGGCGCCGACTCAGAGAGCAGCGGGGCAGGGGAAGGCAGGGGCGCCTCCTACCAAAAAGGGGCAATCGCGGAATTTCGGGTATTTCGGTCCCCCTCACTGTGGAGGTGGGCTGGCGTGTGGGTCGGCCTTTCGCATAGGTCGGCCTTTCGCATAGGTGGGCGGCCTAGGCCTTGAGTTTGGGGCGCCTGGGACCTCATAGGCCTTTAACCTTAGACTTGAAAGAAAGGCCTAAACCCTAAACCCTAAACCCGAAAGGTAAGCCAGCTTCATCCGGGGTCTACTGGCAGGAGCAGGGGACTTAGTAGTTAAGCAGCTTCAAAGCCGGTTTATCAGCTAGAAAGCCTTAATTCACTCAATTAGGGCACCTCTGGCTCCAATTGTGATCTACCCCTTCTTGCGTCCTCACTCTTCGATTCGGTTCAAGTGCTGGCTGTATCATGGCTCCCATGCTGCATCAGCTACATGGCGGTGAAACTCTACTCTCTCTACTCTGCATCTAGCCTGAACTTCTTGCTACACGCCGCTGGAACCAGACAGATGGGTTTCAGACAAGTTTTGCGCCCCAGGCGCAAGGCTTAAAGCCGGTTGCCGGTAGCTCAGCTAGACGGACTTCTTCTCTGTAGCTTGTGAGACCTTGAGGGTAGGGTTCTCAGGGCAGGGTTCTCAAGACCTCCAAAACTCCAAAACCCTTTACGTTTAGGAATGTACAATAAATCATACTTGGGTTCCTATTCTAATTTAAGGCCAAACTCCAAAACCCGTTAACTTAGGAATATACAATAAGTCATATTTGGGTTCCTACCATAATTTAAGGTCGAGTTGCTCCGTCTCGCCGCTGCCGGCGCCAGTGAAGATCTGCAGGTATCACCACGACCGGGTCACATGTTGAAGCTTTTGTACCCGGCACTAGGAGTTAGGATCCCTAAACCCTAAACCCTAAACCCTAAACCCATTAAGGGGACCCTTGGGGATGTAGACCCTCCCAATTCGGTCCCTTTAAGAGAGCCATTAGTCGGGCTAAGAAGGGTCCCTTCAAGGGGCAACCCTAGTACCACCTATTAGGGTAGACTCTAGACCTTCAAGCCCCAAACCCCGAAAGAGCAAATGTACATAGCCCTAAACTCACAAGATACAGTAGCAAGCAGCAGAAACAACCCGGTATGGAGCACCGGTGACAGCGAAACTGACGAGCACCATAGCGATAGTGACACAATGATTTGGGAGTTTCTGAAAACAAGGGGGTACCTTATTTTGGGGTCCTTATAATAAGGATCCTACTATCTAGGGTACTATATTAGGGTCCCCTATTGTCTGAAACCCCCATCTGACAGCTGGCCGGCCCGACTCGTGTCTTCGGTCAATCTTGGCCAGATCCAGACAGGCACGGCGTCAAAGCAGACTCGAACAGTTCAGGCTGCATTCTGCTTGAAGGTTCATGGATATGATGTGTATGTATATATATGTAAATAAATAAATACATAAATTAAATAAATAAATAAATATATATATATATATATATAATCATGTAGCATGGTATAGTATGGTACAATGCGATGTAATATGCTGTAATCTGAGACCATACAATACAACATAGTAGAAAGTAGTATATCGAAACATTTCTCCATCTTAAGATGGAGAACTACCCGTACTCGTCCCGAGCCCTCTGAGGACGTGACAATAGTCCAGCCCGCAAGTGATCACAATCTTCACTTTGCTGACGAGGGGGATGATGATCTCGCAGGTGGGGATTGAAGGCTTAGGCTTTAGGGGCCCAAAGAATTGTCCATACTATTTTGGGGGTTCCTTCTTATAACTACAGTATAATATGCCACCCCACACCTATTCTAATTGTTAAGGCCCCTATATTAGGCTTCAAGCTTGGGGGTGTAAAGTCTAGGGACTTCGAGCTCTGTTGTGCTGAATGCTCGGGGTTCGTCGTCATATTGTGGTACGTATTTGGCGGGACGAAAGTCGGCTGCCGGCAAAAAATGTGCTGCTGAGGCTGTCGGCATCCAACGCCATGCGCGGCTTCCCCCCAAAAAACCCTGAACCCAGCCATACCTCCTGAACCCGTAATCCTTGTGACTCACTCAAACTAGAGAAGCTGACAGATTCTGATCATGGGCTTACGGACCTTGGCTTTTGGCGCATCTTCAGGGACAGGCGACTGGCAGTATGTCGACATCTGATATTGGTATTTTAGAGAGCTGGCGGGGCTGTGTGGGAAGGATAGATCAAGTCCCAACTACATCCCAAATAGAGTTGTGAAGCTGTGGTCCAGGCCCCCCGGGGTGGTAGCAGTAGTGGTCGTAGCAGTAGCAGTTGTACTAGCAATTAGTGGCAGTAGTGGTGGTGGTCGTGGGAGTAGTAGTACAATGTGCCGGGAGTTCAGAACCAATTATTTGAGCAAGATTGCCAAGCAATCTGGCAATCTTGGTCTCGCCGACTAGTTTACTTTGTGGACCAAGATTGAGCGGGGAGCAAGATTGCTAAGCAATCTTGCAATCTTGGTCTCCAAACGGTAAACTAGTCGGCGAGCAAATGGGGCAAGCGGGGCAAGTAGAGCAAGATGCCCAAAGTTGCCAAGAATGCTTGGGAATCTTGCCCCCCCCGACCAAGATTGCACAGATTGTAGTAGTAGTAGTAGTAGTAGTAGTAGTAGTAGTAGTAGTGGTGGTAGTAGTAGTAGTAGTAGGACTAGTAGTAGTAGTACTAGTACTAGTAGTAATGATAGCAGCAGCAGGAAGTAGAGGAGTCGTAGCAGCAGCAATTGTCGTTGTAGTCGTCGGGTGGTGGTAGGAGTTTGTGGCAGAACCAAGCATGCTACTGCCCCTTGACTAGAGCTCGTGATCGAAGGTATCTGGCTCGACTCTGATAGCGACGAGAACTTGACAATATGTGCTGCCTTTTCCGCTTCAGATGATGCAAGATGCGATTCCAGAACCCACATCCCTGAGGGAAACCGAAGAACCCCCGAGCGATGCCCCCAGGGCTAGGCAAGCCTCACGACGTGTGACACCAAATGTCTAACATGCAGAAACACTCTGACATCACTTAAGCTTTTGAGTGCTCGCGTTGACCCACCAACCACAAGCATCGCCTTCTCGCGAAGTTGCGTCTGCCTTGGGCAGCATCAGAGCGGAGTGAACAAAAACAAAAACACCTCGCTTGGCAAGGGTAATGGAGGAGCAGAAATCCGATGATCCGTTTGGCACAGTCTTCCAACTGTTTGATGTACGGAGCGGGTGGGTAGCCAAGGTCGGGAAGGCAGGCCAGGACATGCTCGTTTAATCTTCCCTAGTCTCCAGTAACTGGACAATGGTCTACTGTGGTCCCAGGTTGTCTGAGAACTACCCCTATCCTTCAAGTCAGGTAGCTGTTGCTTGATCTCTTCCAGCTCCTTGGCGAGGCGATTGCGCGTGGCCTCGGCCGCTGCTAAGAAATCAGGTGCGCCTGTACAAGGTGTACAGTGCGCACACTTACCTACATTAAGTATACGTGTGTGTATATATATATATATACGTATATATACACATAATATAGGTATATCAGTTATCTGAAAATGTAGATATAACGATGTACCGGCATATAAGTGCAGACAATATGCATGTATGTATGTATGTATGTATGCATGCATGCATGCATGTATGTGTGTATGTGTATGTGCGTGTATGTGTGTATGCATATGAACATACTGTACAGACACACAATATGTGTGTGTATATATATATATGTCTGTATATATGCTTTCGACAAGCGAAGAACAACGGGTGTGGGCAGAGGTGCCAAGTGCACAAGGCGCAAGGTACCAGGTCGAGGGCGCGGAAGGTTCCTGCGCCCTGGCAGCTGCCAACATCTTGACATTGCGTTGTGGGCCGCGACGCCCATGTTGTTAGCATTGGTAACGTCAGCCTTCCGCTTCTAAAGTCACCAGCACTAGGCCCCAAAACTCGGCCCACAGAGCAGAACCGACTGTAGTCTGATCCTACTTCGCTACTGTAGTGCAAGAAGCAAAACCAACTGCGGAAGTGCCAAGGCAGCAGCAGCCAAGTCCGACGATGCCAGCGTTCGCTTGCTTTGCACCTTCCGTTGCCCAGACATATGTTTGGTCTGATGTAAGTGTTCACTCTAGACACCCGATCTCCCAATGCCACATCTGCGAGCGTGCTACGCGCCCTTTCACCAGCCTTCCGCTGTCTGCGGAGATTGGATAGGCCTGCCTCGAAAGCCTTCAATCCCGTTCAGACCCACAAGTTCCAAACCTGAAGCGTCAAAGCATCTCGAGCATCCTTGAACCCAAGCAAGGCTTGCACCTCTCTCTGTCGCTGGGAGATGTCATCCTGTCCGGGACACTCCAACATCTGTGACGCGTACTTCGGAGTGAGATCCCTCGGGTCGCATGAAAAGTAGGCTTCGGCGTCAGTTACCATGCGTTTCGAAAATCGACCGGCAGGGTCTGGTTCTCAGAGATCTGCGCGGATGCATCTTAAATTTCTACACGGGCATCAAGCTCATATTTCAGCCTGCTGCAGATCTGGTCATTTGCGTTGGCATTGAAACTGTAACAATGAGCCCGCTGCGCCTTGTGAGTGAAAACTTTGAACAACCACGTCCGAGACGAGACAGAACTCTTCCCGACAAAATCCGTTCTGCTCTGCAGGTCAGCTCATGTTGAAAGGTAAAGAATTCACCTGAAACATGCTGTCTATCTGAGATCCCACACAGATCGCTCGTAAACTGTCCTCGTACCTAAAACCTGAACCTCAGCTCGACCTTCATTTCATATTTGCTGAATTTTGCTGACGAGTCACGACGACGGGTTGTGTGGTGGAGATGATCCGGTGACGATGACGATGATGATTACGACGACAAAAGCTAGCGGCAATGACTCACTCAAGAGTCATCCACACTATCAGCATCATCACCATCATCACCACCAGCACCAGTTCAACAGCGGCAATGAGTCGTAACCGTAATGGCAGGGAGTCCCAGGGTGCCGGAGCCTCCAAGCCGGCGACTCGGCTGCGTATCTCTTGCACGGCCTGCAGAAATTAATGCCTTTAGTTCAGGCTAGAAGCTGACTGCTGTGGCAGATGCCACATGGGAAGAATATATCTGATCCCAACAGTCGGGGGGGGGGGGACAACTTTCAGGCTTCTTCTGGTGATTCTTGTTGCATTAAAAGCCTTCGTCTACAGGTCTGTATGAAGCTTGAGTAGAAGGAGTCCCTGGACAAGAGGCGACATTTATGTAAACATGGTAGCGACAGAGGCCACAAGATTCATAGCAGTGGCGATGAGCCGATTCTTCTACTGTTACATACGCCTGCCAGTACCCGTACGACCACGACGACGATTACTTCTGTCTGCTGTTGTCGATATTACTACCGGTGTTGATAACGACAACTACTATTAGTGCTGCCACTGCGACTGCTGCTGCAGCTGCTGCTGCTGCTGCTGCTACTACTACTAGCAATAATCATAATAACAGTAGTTACTGCCTACTACCTACCACCTACTACTACGACTCCTTCAACCACTACTACCATACCCCACCACCCCCACCAGCACCAGCACCAGC